CCGCTGACCTGCTGATCTAGCAGTAGCCTGCAGTGCTGCATTTAACCACTGCGCCACCTTGGCTCTTGGAATGAAGGGATTGCTACTGAAGAATGGAAGACGTTATGATGGATATAGAAAATCTATTGCAAACCATCCTAATGAATATTATATGTTCACAATAAATATTCCTCTGATGAGCTTATGGTCAATAAAATAATTATTTGCCTCTTTTAGTATGTTAGCATAGTATATTTAAATATAACCCTAACTCAACCAATATGGTTGCTGGGGAAAGTGAAAATAGAGTAAAATTACTACCTCCAAATATCCTAGATGATGTTATAGTTTTGAACATTAGAAATTTATAGTTTTCTTGTCATTTCTACCAGCATATCCTGAATGCATGGAGGGTTTATATTGCTAGAGTGATATTTATGATTGTATAACTCAATGTTGCAGAAGTCACATTATTTAGAGAACTTATAAACAAGAGAAGTGTAGTGATTAGCAAAACTTCTGGTAAGATAAGAACGAGTTTTGTAAACTTCCAAAATTAACAGGGGAATTTTGAGGAATTGATGTTAATACATCTGGAGGTTGTCAAGATTGGGAAACATTGAACTGGGACTTGGGTTCAATAGTTGTAAAACGAAACCCAATAAATATTGGTATCCACAGTAAAAGTAAGGAAAACATACACCTGTCTTTAGTTTCTACACTCCTGTGTTTGAATGAGCAGTTATTTAAAGTATAATTAAACATAACAGCAGTAAAATATGAGTTGAGACAGACAGAAAAAAAAATACAAACATACAAAACATTTTGTAAACAAACACATTAACACAGAGACACCCTGAAGTTAAAAAAGAATCCTTTTTTAAATGAATGAGCAAAAATAAATAAGTTGTAGCAATTTCTCATCTTTATGACGGCAATATTATTATGCATTTGAGTCTACTAACTCCACCTGAGATTATTTACAAGATCGCCTAAAGCTCATGATGAAGGGGAGAGGATTTTTATAAACAGCTTGCCGAACTACAACTCCCAGCAGCCTCAGCCAACTTGGGCGTGGGCGACTGAGGCTGGGATTTGTAGTTCGGTGTTGATTGAAAGGCCATAAAGCTCCCCATCCCGTGAAATGTAACCAGTTGCTAAACCCGTTTCGATATTGATATTTATATATTTCTTGGGGTTAAAAGAGAGCGCGAGTCGCCGAGGACATTTCTGAAACGAATATTAGTATTTCCAACCTGCAAGCAGGATGTTATTATTATTTTGTTTTAAGCCCGACCCTCGCTCGTCAGAAAAACGTATCCAGGCAAGCCTCGCAGGCTGTGAAACCAAACGGCGGCTGAGTTTTTCTACCTGGCGTTCCCATGCCTCGCTAAACCACCAGCACCGGCTCCCTCTCCAAGAACTCCCTCTTCCCCGTCCGCCTCCTCAGAGCAAACCCGCATCTAACCGGGCAAACGCAGCGGAGGGGGAAGACTCGGGTCGCCCAACTCGAGTCCCCAAACCGGACAAAGGCTTTTTTTTCCCCCCCGAAGGAGATTCCGCGGCGCCTCTCCCGCTTTCTTCAGCGATGGTCACTTCGGCGGCGCAGAGAACCGCTCCCGAAAAAGCCAGGCCCCGCTTTAGAGCCAAGCGAGACGCGGCGAAGCTTCCCCGCAGCTCCCGAGCCGGCACTTCCGGTTCCTGGTCGCAGCCTTCGTGCGCGTGAGTGGCGGGAGAGCGTGGAACTGGGCGGCGGAACGCACAGATTCTTTGGGGGAAAGGAAATGGGGTAGTGGTTTGCGTGGCTTGGGGAAGAAGCTATCACGGGCCTAGAGGTTTCATGGTAGGGATATTCAATAATGGACGGATTGCGTGCCACCAACGTAACGCCACACCGAACGCCATCAGTATGCTAAACCAGTGTTTCCCAACCTTGGCAACTTGAATATGTCTGGACTTCAACTCCCAGAATTCCCCAGCCAGCAT